AGGTTTTGTCAATCCTGAAAGATGCTAATAAGTATGCAAAGCTCCAGCAATCCTTCTAAGGACTGGAGTAAGCATCTCGGAGTTGGAATGTATGCTTTGATGAGATGATCAAAGTTTTGGGTGTATGCAAAGTTTATGAGAAACTTGTATTTCCAAAGAAGTGAGTGGGAGCACTATAGAATTTCTGATGAGTATATGTTGTTGACATATTGTTGATCAGAAATGACGTAGAATTTCTGGAAAGCATATAGGGTTATTTGGAAAGTGTTTTCAATGGAAAGCCTGGATTAAGCTACTTGAACATTGAGCATCAAGATCTATAAGGATAGATCAAAACGCTTAATGGTACTTTCAAATGAGCACATACCTTGACATGATCTTGAAGGTGTTCAAGATGGATCAGTCAAAGAAGGAGTTCTTGCATGAGTTGTAAGGTATGAAGTTAAGACTTAAAGCTCGACCACGGCAGAATAGAGAGAAAGGACGAAGGTCGTCCCCTATGCTTAAGACGTAGGCTCTACAGTATGCTATGCTGTGTACCGCACCTGAAGTGTGCCTAGCCATGAGTCAGTCAAGGGGTACAAGAGTGATCCAAGAATGGATCACAGGACATCGGTCAAAGTTATCCTTAGTAACTAGTGGACTAAGGAATTTTCTCGATTATGGAGGTGGTAAAAAGAGTTCGTCGTAAAGGGTTACGCCGATGCAAACTTTGACACTAATCCAGATTATTCTGAGTAGTAAACTGGATTCATATAGTAGAGCAGTTATTTGGAATAGCTCCAAATAGAACGTGGTAGCTGCATCTAGGAGATGACATAGAGATTTGTAAAGCACACACGGATCTGAAAGATTCAGACCCGTTGACTGAAACCTCTCTCACAAGAAAAACATGATCAAACCCAGAACTCATTGAGTCTTAATCACATGATGATGTGAACTAGTTTAGTGACACTAGTAAACTCTTTGGATGATGGTCACATGGCGATGTGACCTGTGAGTGTTAATCACATGGCGATGTGAACTAGATTATTGACTCTAGTGCAAGTGGGAGACTGTTGGAAATATGCCCTAGAGGCAATAATAAATTGATTATTATTATATTTCCTTGTTCATGATAATCGTTTATTATCCATGCTGGAATTGTATTGATAGGAAACTCAGTTACATGTGTGGATACATAGACAACACCATGTCCCTAGTAAGCCTCTAGTTGACTAGCTCGTTGATCAATAGATGGTTACGGTTTCCTGACCATGGACATTGGATGTCGTTGATAACGGGATCACATCATTGGGAGAATGATGTGATGGACAAGACCCAATCCTAAGCCTAGCACAAAATCGTGTAGTTCGTATGCTAAAGCTTTTCTAATATCAAGTATCATTTCCTTAGACCATGAGATTGTGCAACTCCCGGATACCGTAGGAGTGCTTTGGATGTGCCAAACGTCACAACGTAACTGGGTGGCTATAAAGGTACACTACAGGTATCTCCAAAAGTGTCTGTTGGGTTGGCACGAATCAAAACTGGGATTTGTCACTTCGTGTAAACGGAGAGGTATCTCTGGGCCCACTCGATAGGACATCATCATAATGTGCACAATGTGATCAAGGAGTTGATCACGGGATGATGTGTTACGGAACGAGTAAAGAGACTTGCCGGTAACGAGATTGAACAAGGTATCGGGATACCGACGATCGAATCTCGGGCAAGTACAATACCGCTAGACAAAGGGAATTGTATACGGGATTGATCGAATCCTCGACATCGTGGTTCATCCGATGAGATCATCGTGGAACATGTGGGAACCAACATGGGTATCCAGATCCCGCTGTTGGTTATTGACCGGAGAACGTCTCGGTCATGTCTGCATGGTTCCCGAACCCGTAGGGTCTACACACTTAAGGTTCGATGACGCTAGGGTTATGAAGGAAGTTTGTATGTGGTTACCGAATGTTGTTCGAAGTCCCGGATGAGATCCCGGACGTCACGAGGAGTTCCGGAATGGTCCGGAGGTAAAGATTGATATATAGGAAGTATGGTTTTGGCCACCGGAAGTGTTCCGGGCATCACCGGTAGTGTACCGGGACCACCGGAGGGGTCCGGGGGTCCACCGGGAGGGGCCACGGGCCCCGGAGGCATACATGGGCCAATAGTGGGAAGGGACCAGCCCCTAGGTGGGCTGGGGCGCCTCCCACCAAGGCCCAAGGCGCCTCCTAGAGGGGAGGGGGCAAACCCTAGGGCAGATGGGCCTTAAGGCCCACCCTAGGTGCGCCCCCCTCTCTCCCCCTTGGCCGCAACCCTAGATGGGTTTGGGGCAGCCGCCACCCCTAGGGAGGCAACCCTAGATGGGGGCACAGCCCCTCCCCTTTCCCTATATATACTTGAGGTATTGGGGGCTGCAAGACACACGATTTGATCTCTCCCTGGCGCAGCCCTACCTCTCTCCTCCTCGTCTCTTGCGGTGCTTGGCGAAGCCCTGCTGGAGTACCACGCTCCTCCACCACCACCACGCCGTTGTGCTGCTGCTGGATGGAGTCTTCCTCAACCTCTCCCTCTCTCCTTGCTGGATCAAGGCATGGAAGACGTCACCGGGCTGTACGTGTGTTGAACGCGGAGGTGCCGTCCGTTCGGCACTAGGATCTCCGGTGATTTGGATCACGACGAGTACGACTCCTTCAACCCCGTTCTCTTGAACGCTTCCGCATAGCGATCTACAAGGGTATGTAGATGCACTCTCCTTTCCCTCGTTGCTGGTTTCTCCATAGATAGATCTTGGTGACACGTAGGAAAATTTTGAATTTCTGCTACGTTCCCCAACAGGAGCATCCACAATCAACGAGTGCCAAAACTTAACACGAGCCTTGTGCCAAAGCTTAACATGAACCTTGACTGAGAGCTCCGCCACGGAAGTTCAAGACGATTAGCAAGGCGGGGAGGCGTCATTGCGTCGTCATTGAGCAAAGGTGAACCAAGACGAGACCAAGAGCCCGAGGCTCGCCTCAACAGAACTGGGTCATGAGCATGCATAGAAGCAGACCGGAGACCACACATAGGACAGCCGAAGAGAAACACCTGAAGAAGAAACACCACCCTCGGTCCTGAGCAGGCCGCACCACCACCACCAAACGCACCACCCACAACCACACACAGCAACAGACGCCGTTGTTTGGGTCTCCAAGACAACGCCTCCAAGGAGGTAGTGTTGTCGAGCACACAACACCGTCATCCGATCCGGCAAGCCCGATCTTGAGTTTTTACCCGGAGACCACAAACAAAGAACTGTAGGTGCTGTAGCTCCACGACGGCACCTCCTACGAGGAAAACGACGTCTGTAGACGCCGTTGCCGCCGGCATCAGCATAGCCGATGCAGGGTTCTCACCCGGAGTTTGAGCACATCCCTACAGCAATACGGCAGCCGACCACCACCGCCGTCGAACCCTCCAACGATGAAGAAGCACGACGAACCGCCTCGGCCAGCCGCACCTCGCGGAGACCACCGACGGCCAAACTCAACACTAGACGCCAGATCCATCAATGGCCGGCCGGACGCAGAGCCACCGGACGCAACGCAAGCCACCGTGCCCCACCAAGCACCATGCCGGCAAGGAGCAGAGGGGTGCCGCCCGAGGCCAAGAACCACCATGGTTCCGGGTTGCAGCCATACATCAGGCACGTCGACGCGCCCCACGCGCGCCACCGCACTCCTGCCGGAGGCCAGAAACAAAGCACCCGCAGTGCAGACTGAAGGCGGGGGGATCGAACCTTGCTGTTGCAGCACCTCCCACAAAGAGCCGCAGCCGGCGCGACGCACACCACCAGACCAAAATCACCAGGCGAGGAGCACGAGCTGCCACCCCGAAGCTCCGGATCCAGCCGCACGAAGATGCCACCACGAGCTGTCACCACCAGATCCACCCGAAGCTGCTACACGAGCTCCAGCTCCAGATCCGCCCGATGCAGCCACCCCCAGGACCAAACGGGGCGGCCCGTCACACAGCCGCACGAGCGTCGTCCCGCTGGAGGTCGACGGCGAGGTCGTCGTGGTACTCCAGCCGCCGGCCCGCCTTAGTCATGCCCAAAACCCCATGGCCGAGCCTCCCTCCACCCTAGTACCACCGACCGCGAGCAAAGCCCGCCGCCAGCCGCAGATCGACCGCCAGATCTGGTACCCCAGATCGAGCCCCCAAGGCAGCCCCGGGGGAACCTCGCGCAGCCCACCACGCAGCCCCAGGAGCAGCCGCAGCCGCGCAGTACGCACGAGCGCCCGTCGCTGCCACCCGTCGTCGCGCCGCCGCGCCCTGCCGTCAGCATGCCGCCACCAGCTTGGACCAGCTGCCCGCGCGAGCCACCATGAGCCGAGGGGAGAGGAAGCCCAGCCGCCGCCTACGCATGCCAGGCTTCGCCTGGCGGCGCCTAGTGGCGGCGGCGAGGAGGAGGGAGGAGGTAGGCGAGCAGGGGCGGCCGGGGATGGGGGCTCGCCAGCCGCCGCTCGCGGGAGCGACGGGGGCGAGAATAGAGAGTCCCTCTCCTGTCCTGGGAAACAGTTGCAACTAACCTCGATGAGTTTGTTGAGATATCAGTTACAGTTCCTGCTGATATGTTCTTTCCGATGCACAAAACGTATCCTTTCAAGTTAAAAGAGATTGACTGTAGATAAGTGTGACAGTTTCTTTTTCACTTTTGCAAGTTTATTGAAAGAAAGTTAGCTGACAGCAACATAGGGGCTGATGCTGTTTATCTTCTTGCATTTTTCAGTGTTATTTATTCTAGTAGTTCTTACCGAGTCAGTTTTGTCCTGCAATTTGTCTCGCAACTTCTGTAATTCATCTTGAATTAGTTTTGTCAACATTTTTCATAGGTGATGTTGACCCAATGCTTAGAATCCTACTTGAAATGCATGGGTTTCAACATCCGAAAAATGGCATTCCTGGTTAGCTTTAGATGAGTGGTGCTGCAACACTTGCTTCCATACCTCCTTGAAGATGGCCCCGTTTCAAGCATTACTAGGGGCAGGGGCGCGCCTCTTGAGATACTCCTCTGCGCTCATAGGCTGTCTACCGACTTTATTGTCCCTGCTTTAATCAATAGCCATCTAACCATCAGGTAGATGTTACCACTAACCAAAATATACACTGGACAATAGTTTCGTATGAGTCTGTTAAAAGAATAGAAGCCACACTATTTATATTGATCTGATCATACTATAGGAGGCCAATAATTTGGCAAGCCAATAATACACATGAATAACAATATGCCATTGCATAACAAATAAGAACCTTGCACCCATGTAAATCTCATGCTGCAACAGCCGCCAATATTCCGACGTGTTGAGCTTCTGCGTGCTCACGATGGCCGAGACGATGCCGGGGAAGGCTTTGGTACCCCACCAGTCGTCCTGCTCCGACAACATATAAATCTGCCCAAGGAGAAAAACCATCACTGTGTTCAGTTTCAGACTAACTTCGGAGTTCAAGTACAGTACTATGCAACAAGGCTGCAGCTCTGATGCTCATCATATGATTGGACCACGGTCTCCCCATAGGCGACTCTTGGTTGGTGAAGGCTCGCTCCGCCATCGTTAATCGGTCATTGATCTCTTTGACTTTCAGCATGCGTTACCTCGTGTTATGGCCCCACTTTTGTGCTTGCAACATCTATTGTCATGAGGACAGCAGATAGTCCATGTGTCAATTGTTGGAGCTACTTCTACACGCCACACTTAATGATAATTTCATGAAAAAAACATGTGTACCAATCAATATGAAGCGAGTCTATCGTGATTCTGTTTTAGTTTCCTTAATGAAACTGGATCAGGGGATTACTCAGTTGTCCCCTACGCGTCTAGGTTACATATCTCAGTTGCCAGAAGAGAAAATACCTCCAGTTCGGATGTGTAGGGGGACATAATTGAAGGGAATGATCTCATCATCCACAAGTCTCAAGGCAATCAGACCCTAGACGCTCACCACTGCATGAGTACCCAGTAAATGGGTTAGTCAGGGCTATAGTGAACTTTCTGAATTTGAAAAGATAGCTCGCTCAGTACATGCTACATGTCCGTGGAACAAAGGGTCTCCAAACCGCTCCATCCAATCAAAATCATCGTACAGAGAGCGGTAGACAGGGTATTCTGAAACTGCAAGAGCAACAATATTTATGGCAGATGCTAGAGGAATAATAATAAGGCGAGCTGTAAATATATGGTTTGCTAGCCTACTGTTTTGTTTTTTTTGAATGAATCAGAACAATGCTATAGAAAGGGGGCACAGATTTTCAGGCTTATACGCCACCAAGAGCGTTTTCACTTACATAATCCATAAGAGATGTCAAGTGAAGGGACTCCAATGTGCTGGACAAAGCTGCAAAGTCTGTTCCCGCACCGGCCACTCTTGCAATCTGAAAATAGGAGCTTAATACTTCAGTATGTTTCAATCAAATGAAGCTCTCATGATCGCTCATTTGTGCCACAACAGAATTATATGACAATTACACCATTATACCCATCGGAGGATTCTGGTGAATCATGTAGTCGTACAAGGTATGAGATGGATCATCAGGATCGGGTACCTTCAATCATGAAAATGAAAGGATCAAATAATAAATAAATTTGGAATCTATGTAGAACAGTCTCTAATATGTACTCAGTGCTGCTCATGGAGTTTAAATTCTATGCTTATAAAGGCTTTAGGTGCAGAGCTAAAATACCATTCTGCTTGCTTCCTTGATTCATTCATCGAGTTGTGGGGTTGCACAGAGCGTCAGACTTCCAGGCCCAAACATTGACATCTCTACGTTCAGACAAGCAACAGTTCTTGAAGAAAACATATCCATGTCCTCTTCGGTCCATTCCGTAGACCCTATATGAGACATTGGATTTTTCTACGCTTTAGAGCTTACACTTGTGGATAAGAAAGCATCTGAGAGCATGCGAGCAAGAACATACCAGCGCAAACTCTTCTGCATCCCAACTGCAGAAGATGATTGTTCGCCTTGGCCTCCATCTTTTCTTTTCTAGCTTGGAAAGCCTCCCTGCAATCTATAAACAAAAATAGGGCATTGGCATTACCCTCAATTTATCAAAGATGCCTTGCATTCAAAACAGCCAGTATTCGGTAAGGTTGATTACCTCGAGCATAGCTGCTGTTCCGCCGTTAGGATCCACTGCCTCAAATGTTTTTAGTACATTTTTTCATATGCTGGCTACAGAAAGCGAATATAAGCTATGTAGCAGCAGACTTTCAATAGAACAAGTACATCAGGGTTGTTTGGTTGTAACTGATTTACCTCGCCCTGTGTTTGCCGTTTCGTGAGCTTATGCCGTACAGATGGATCAGCATCATTTATAACAACTTCTCGTGCTATAAGCTCATCCGGTAGTTTTTCCTGGGGCAACAAGAAACACAGAGATAGTAAATATGAATACTTAGTCCCAGTAACACATAGGTTAGCTTGCTTAGTTTACTGCTGGAGACTGTATCATGGAGCACAGGCCTGACTTAGTTTCTGAATTGCAGCAGCTGTAGCACTCTGAAGCACCGGTGGAACAAGCTGCGGCGGCAAAGCATAAGGGGCGGCAGAATACGCAGTAGTGCTAGGGAATTGAACGCCGGATAGAGCTCCCGTGTTCAAGACGGGCAGTCTCGCCGCCGCAGCTGCAGCGACCAAATCCTTTGCGGGTTGATCCCACTTCCTCTTTTTTACAGAAAAAAATATATGGCAAAATCGGCCCTAGCATTCCATTTTTCGCAGACCAATCCGCCGTTATAGGACAAGAGCGAGCGGGGAAGGAGGGGAGGTGGGAGGGCGCACCAGATTGGCCATCTTGACGAGGCCCTCCATGCCGGGGTCGTTCTTGACATTGACGCGGTGGAAGTTGCTGCAGCAGGCGAGGTGGAGCGGGGGTGGGTCGACGAGGCGGCAGATCTTGTAGCAGTAGACGTCGACGGCGAGGACGGAGTCCGGGATCTCGGCCATGAGGTGCTTGCAGAGGTGGGAGCAGATGAATCTGCCAGCCCCGATCACGCAGATGGTGAGAGGCGCTACGAGCACGCCGTCCAGATCCAACCTGCCGTCGCTGGCGGGCGTCAGCGTCGACAGCGACATCGTCCTGGCGGTCGAGCGGGCGAGCCGATCTGAGAGATTTTTGGGAGGAAAGGAAAGAGAGGTTGCGTAATCGAGATCCGGCTCGAGGAAAGGTGCGTCGGGCTCGAGGTGAATCCATCTTCCTCTTTTCTTTCTTCTGAACGAGGGAAACGAGGAAAGTAGTGGCCTCTCGGTTGGTATTTTTTTTCATCGACAAAACACGCCAACCTTTTTTTTTTTTTGAGCAGAACACGCCAACCCCTTTTGCCCACGTGGAGATGGCCAGGGGGCGCTATTGTAGCGATGCGTAATTTATATCCCTGGACAATGTTGAATCGGTGCAAAACAGATAAATGGCTACTCAAATGCTCAGGGATAATCTACTCAAAGCACAAGCTAGGAGGAAGCAGTTTGCTGATAGAAAAGGAAATACTAGGGAATTTTCAGTGGACACAATGGTTTACTTAAAATCCAGCCCTGCAGACATACTTCCTTGAGCGTTCACATGCTCTTAAAGCTACATTCCAAGTTTTATGGACCCTTCAGAACACTGAAAAAGATTGGGAACTGTTCTTATAAACTGTTGCTCCCAGATGGATGTAAACTGCAGACCACGTTTCATGTGAGTCAGCTCAAACAACACATTGGCCTAGAGGTCATTCCCACTCCTCAGCTTCCTCTTGTCGGTGAGCAAGGTCAAATCAGAATGGAGTTTGAAGCCATTTTAGACAGGAAGCTCATCCCAGGCCGCGGGGTGATATCAGTGTGCCTGTAGTTCAATGGTTGACTAAATTGGTAAATATGTCAGTAGAGGAGACGACGTGGGTAGACTCGGGGTCCATCCGGAAAGTTTTTCCTTCATTTTCGCCTCGAGGACAAGCCGTGCTTCACTGGGGGGTATTGCCACGCTCAGTACTGAATTTACACTCTTAAGATAGTCTTCAGTCAGGTGTTCATCTTCCAGCATGCGTCCTACACTGCTTGATGAAGATCCAGCGGCTCCCAGTCATTCCGGTGAACCGGTACGCAGATGGTCGAGAAGATAACATGGTGGACGCGGGATCTTCATCCAACGACTGGATTTTAATTATCATTTAGCGCTTTTACTGTTTCCATGTAGTAAATTTACTTTAAGCTCTTTTACCTTTGCTTTGGACTGTAATGGCTATATAAAGCCTCCCATCCCAGCTACGTGGAGGCATCGAGTTGTAATCGGGGTATAAACCCTAGTGTAAGGGCATATTTATCCCTTATTAGTTTTGGTGATTGATGATAATGCTTTTGCGGACTAATCGTGTGCATTGAGCATTTCAGATATATCATGTCTAAGCACAAGACGATTTTGGTGCCCCTTGGAGCTTATTGAAGACGGCGTTTCTCTACGTTTCTTTCCGGTGGATTTGAGTCGTAGGAAAGTCATACTATTAAGAGGGGGTCCGCGTTGGAAAGGTTTGGGTGGAATCATCACGTACACATATGTTCCTTTCTGCACCACCTTTCCTTTGGCTCCTTGGAGCATCCTCCGTTTCTCCGTGTCTACGCAAAATAAAGGACTTCTAGTGTTGCTGAACTGGGGCATGCGGTAGTACTGCTCTTCGGAGCAGTAGTACCGCATGGCCTTCCGGTAGTACCGGCCATGGGCGCGGTAGTACCGCTCCTTGGGCGCGGTAGTACCGTGGCCTCGGGCCTAACTCAGCTGTGTGAGCGGAAGTAGGGGCGGATGTAATTTTTTACATCCACGCCCTACGCGGTAGTACCGCTCCAGGCTTGCGATAGTACCGTGGCCTCGGGCCAGGCACAGCAGCACGAGCGGAAGTAGGGGCGGATGTAATTTTTTACATCCGCGCCCTACGCGGTAGTACCGTGCCAGGCTTGCGGTAGTACCGTATCAGATTTTTGCATGGATCAAAACTCAACGGAAGTAGCCACGAATGTATTTTATATGTCCGTGCCTTCCCAGCCTAGACTATCCCTGCCTTGCGGTAGTACCGCGCCAATGGTTCTACCGCTCTCTGCTACTACGCTACAGGTCTGGTCTAGCTCCTGACTCGCCAGCGGTAGTTGCTCTAAGCTTCATTTTCGCCCGATCTCTCTCCCTAGCCAATCAAACTTGTTGATATTCTAGGGATTGGTTGAGAAGGCCCCGATCTACACTTCCACCAAGAGAAATTTGATTCCCCCCACCAATCCCTTGCGGATCTTGTTACTCTTGGGTGTTTGAGCACCCTACTAGGTTGAGGTCACCGCGGAGCCATATTCCATTGTGGTGAAGCTTTGTGGTGTTGTTGGGAGCCTCCAATTAAGTTGTGGAGATTGCCCCAACCTTGTTTGTAAAGGTTCGGTCGCCGCCTCCAAGGGCACCAATAGTGGAATCACGGCATCTCGCATTGTGTGAGGGTGTGAGGAGAATATGGTGGCCCTAGTGGCTTCTTGGGGAGCATTATGCCTCCACACCACTCCAACGGAGACGTACTTCCTCTCAAACGGAAGGAACTTCGGTAACACATCCTCGTCTTCACCAACTCCACTCTTGGTTATCTCGTCCCTTTACTTGTGCAAGCTTATCTTGTATTACATTCCTTGCTTGCTTGTGTACTCGTTGTAGCATCATATAGGTTGCTCATCTAGTTGCTTATCTAGACAATCTACTTTGATGCAAAGTTTAAATTGGTAAAGAAAATCTAAAAATTGTTAGTTGCCTATTCATCCCCCTCTAGTCAACTATATCGATCCTTCCAATTGGTATCTGAGCCTCGTCTCTTTGTTAAGGACTTTGCCGTCCGAAGAGTATGGTTGACACCGTAGACGGTGAGGAGGAGCACCCTGGTGTGATTCCGTCCTCGTCTACGGTCGATGGGGGAACCTCGGTCTCACGTGAAGAGTTCAATGTGGCTTTGAACACATTGAAAACCTCCATGACGGCCGAGGTCAAAAGCATGCTCAAGAACTTTCTTGATGGTCTCAATTTATCCACCGCACCGTTGGAAGTGGTCGATCCCACCAACAAGGTGACGGATACTAACTCCGACAAGGAGGAAGCTACTAGTGAGAAAGTTCCTTTGTCTAGTAGTAGAAATGGTAGTGGCATCTTTGCCCATGTGGAACCTCCTCCTACTTATGGAGGACATATTCCCTCCACTCATTTAAATCATGTCGGCTCTCCTCCTAAGATTGTGAAAAATGAGGATTTTGACGCTTGGGTATATCGCCTTAAACATCATTTAAATCATGTTAATACTAATCTTTGGAGAATCATTGAGCAAGGTTTTTATCCGCATGACCCAAGCAACTTCACCCCTAGAGAAGCCGCGGATCATCAATTCAACGAGAATGCTCTATTCATCATCCAAGATGCAATTCCATCCGAAGATCTTGCACATCTCCGACCTTTCACTGTGGCCAAGGAAGCATGGCACCATGTTGTCTCCCTTATAAGGGAAGCGTAAGCATTCAACACTCCAACTATGAAGTGGTGCAAGGTGAAGCCGATGAGTTTGCAATGAATGAAGACGAAGAACCTCGTGAGCTTTACCGGAGGTTAACCACTCTCGCGGTCTTACTCCGAGATCATGGGAGCAAGGATACGGATGACAATTGGATCAAGCGCAAGTTCTTCAAGGTCATGATGCCTTACCACAAGGCCATGTCCTCTGTCATCCGTCGAAGGCCGAACTTCCACACCTTGTCCTCAAGTGAAGTGTTGGATGAGTTTGTGGCAATGAGGATCTTGGACAAGACCACCGATAATGCGGTGTTGCGTTCTCAGAGAGCTAAGAAGCCCAACCTTGCTTTGAAGGCCAAGGTTAGTGTGGAAGAAGAGGATGAAGAGGAAGAAGAGGAGAGCAATCCTGAAGATACAAAATATGCTTATCATGAGCACATGGCTCTCGCTTCAAGGCAATTTTGGAGCAAGAAGAACTCGAGGCCCAACTTCAACAAGAAAAACTCAAGTGGCGCGAAGGGCAAGCAACGAGTGATGACTTGCTATAATTGTGGCAATGTGAGCCACTTTGTTGCGGAGTGCCCATATGAGAAGAGGGAAGACAATGGTGGCAAGCTCATCAGAAAAGACAAGGCCAAGTCCTTCCCCACCAAGAGCAACTTCACCAAGAAGACTCCTCCCAAGGGGTTGGTGGCACAAGAAGAGTACAATGAGGATGATGGTGATGATGAAGACGGTGAGTGGGTTTCCATGGCCTCCGTTGCCATTGCGACAACTCCAAGGGTGTCTCTCTTTGACTCACCCAATGAGAACATCACCGCCAAGTGCCTCATGGCTAAAGCCACCAGCAAGGTAACTCCCAACATCAAGACTACCATCATTACTAATCCTTCTTTAACGGATTGCATTGATGAAAATGAGGGGTCTAATGAGGAGGAAAATGAATTTGAGTCTTTTATGAGTAAGCTCAAGGGTAAATCCAAGAAGCACTTTGTTGCTCTCTTGGAACAACTTGGTGAAGCCAATGACATGATCGAGGCTCACGAAGAAACCATCTCTAAGATGAAGGGCCATAGTCGTGACTATGCCGATGAGATATCGGATCTCTCTAATGCGCTTGAGGAAGAGCGCGGTCACCGTGTGGCTCTTGAGGAGTCACACAACGACGACCATGCTAAATTAAAGAAAGATCTTGATCATGCTCTTGTTGTATCTCGTGTGCTAAATTCTGAGAAGGCCAAACTTGGGGTTGATCTTGCTAGACTCAAGGAGGAGTTTGATATACTTGACAAGGCTCACAAGGCCTTGAAGGGTACTCATGCTAGTCTTAAAGAGTCTCATGATCAACTCCAAGTGAAGCTAACCAAGGAGAAAGCCACTTTTCCTCATATGGTTTTAATTGATAATGCAAATGCTACTAACCCTTGTTGTGAGCATGTGCATCTTGTTG